CTTCACTCACTCCCACCTCCCTCGCCCCCTTCCTTCCTCGACCCCTTCGCTCCCCTCCCCATCCCCTTCATCACCTCCTGCGTCATTTTTAAGTCCCTACTCCCCCCTCCTTCGGTCGCCTTCGCCCACCTCTCGCTGTCCTCACCCCCCTTTCTGATTCGACCAACCCACCAGTGACATCCTCTCCCCTGCCTCTCGCCCCCTCGCTCATTCCCCCAATACGCTCCTCAATCCCCGCAATATTCTCAATCGGTTCCTCGCGAAACTCCCCACGATTCCTAAATTCAGCAGCACTACCAACATCTCTTCTTACCCTCCACACACACACTACCACTACGCTTATAGTTCAGTACCTCATTCTCTACCCTTGTCATCGTTAATCTCGGCCCTAGAGCCCACTCGACCCTCCGCCTCACCCCAAATGAAATCCGCAACAAACCGGATGGTCTATGGCGAAGTCTCTACATCGGAGTAGTGAAGCATAATTTCGGAAAAACAAATGTATTCGAAATAATTACTCAGATTTGTGATTCGAAGCAATCATATCATGGCATTTTGAAACAACTGTCATAGAATCCATCAATATGCACATTAACTTATGAATAATATAACAAAGATGTAGCCCACAAATGAAAAGTGTAATATGAAAGAACCATTTAAATAGCCAAATCATCACCTAATAATATTTTATTTGGTTAAGTAGTCACCTATAAATAATCACCGTTCTCACTTGTTACTCTTATCCTCAGCGCATAGGAAGTGTTTGCCCACCCGTGATGGCCTATCCGTGTAAAAACTTCCGAGTTTACTGACTCGACCTATATATTTGACAATGCAGTTGTCACACCCTCCAAGGTGCATCTATTGACTACTTAAAAAAAAAATATAAAGGCTGAATATAAATGACCAAGTGCGTGATCCGAGAGATGTCAACTAGCACTCGTATTGACTAGCGGAGAGGTTGCGTAGCACTCATCCCAGCAGAAACACTTACGAATCGCGAGAGCCGAGTGAAGCACCGTCTTTGGACACCCCCGAGCCTTTGCCGCGATAGATGCAGTCCAATCCGTATCCTTTGTATTCACCGCCAATTATGCAACCAGCAATATTCACAGCATCGGTTTCTCTAAACGAATTCTGGACGCTATAAACGACTCTGCCACAGCCAGCAATCTTAGGCAACTATGCAGTTCGCACGGAACGTATAGCGTTCACTGGCAGCGTCCACAATAGATGACGCGCACCCACCGCCAAAGAACCATCACCCAATGCCAGCATCACTAAAACCGTAATGCATGGCGTTAGGATACTGCTAACCGAAAAACATGAACTTGTGGAAAATTCAAATAGCGATCGATTAAGCCACTCACAGGGGAATTCCTCACACTTTTACTGAATAAACGTCTGAGACACCAATGGACAAATCGCATTTTCGATCTCTGTTAAACGGCACGTTTGGACTGCTTTTTTAAATTACGAATTTACGCTACGATTGACCTTTTTCCAAAAAAGTCTACGGCAAAAATTACGCGAATTTGAAATTCAGATTCCGCAACTTCCGAGATGACAATATTTCAGACATATGTCGGGTTGCTGCGTAACTAATAGCGCCGATGGCGGCCAGGACCTTCCTGAATCGAGACGTCACGTGACAACTATGCAAACTCTAACGCATTAGAAGCCTCTTGTAGTGTGAAATATATCTGACACATCTCACCCTGTAGCATCATCGCCCCTCCCCCCACTTTCCCCTCTCTCGCACGCTCCGTTTGCGATCACTCCCACCTCGCGTCTTAGTTTGTGGCCTCTGTGTCGCAGACGCGGTGCCACGGCAGGCCCGTGCGTGCGTTGCGAGGCCCAGCCCCGACGGAGGAGGCCATCGCGCGTACTTGCGGGGATACAGCGCAAGCCACATACACCTTCCGGTTTAGTATTGCGTTCGTCACTTCTTGGCATGTCCTCAACTCTATTTTTTTTCACGACGTGAGTAATGACTGCTCCTACTACCGAGCATTTTCATTACTACCTCACTTATTACAAGCCTGATGGTACCAAAACATCAGATATGACCTGCATCCCTCCATACCTCTCTCTCTTGTCATATAATAGTAAGGTATACATAACTATCTTCTTCACACTCATTCCTAAGTCGGCTTCCTTCCAGATCCATGGTATCATATCATAGGTAATTTTTTGAATGCATTCTCCAAATTATTCATTCCTCGATTCTCTTAACTATTCTTTGCAAAAAAGGAACGTAACTGCGTGTACTAACTGATCACTGTGTGACAGCCTCCGATCCATCTCACTCGCACAATCCTACGTTTAGATAATATATACTTATCTAAGGGTCTTTTGTCATCACCCACACTCTCGGTCTTAAGATCCTCCGTTTTGTCAAATACGCGGTTAAAAAAAAGATGGCGGTAAGAATAAGCACGAGCTCTCTCAATCCTACAACATCGATAATTCTTGATCTCAAAACCGACGTATTATCTGACTTAATATCAGAGTTCCATATGGTGAAATCTCTTATCCAAGATAAAGAAATAGCCGAAACACGCCTATTATTAAAAATGTCAGTTCGTACTTCGGACCAACTTTTTCTCAACAGAAATGCGCATTATCTTGGACTGTCGGGTGACGTCACGTCGAGCTGTTGTGAACATTATCTGACCATATTTAGTCCCAGATGAATCCTTTCCTCCAGCGGGGCTGGTATGCCCAGGTTACATAAGTTGCTTCAATGGACACGTAAAGACTACCGGACAAAGATGGTCGAACGTCGCCAAACACATTCTTCATTCGCGAACGTCACCTGCGATAGATCAAAGGATCATGTGCCACATGCTCTTGCGAGAACGCCTACGACTTAATTTAAAAAAGTGGATCAAAATAGCCATGTCATAAGAGAGCTAGATCTAATCTCATGACCTCGCAACGCCGACCAACACAAGCGTCGAAATAGACTGATGAATAGTCCTAACATGAAGATATATCCACTCCTTAACCTTGGTCTAAGAATTATTATCAGACATAAAAAGAAATGTTTGATAAATTTGTATAACTTTTGACGGAAAATAATAAATTCCTGGTGATCATTCCATACAGACTTACCGTAAAACATGCATACAGGGATAATGATTTGGCATTCGGAATCAACATCCTATGTAATTGCTATGCATTTTGAGCGTGTTATTCCACTTACCATGCTTCTTGTATTATATAAATTTCTCTTTCGAATCTCAAAAAAAAAAGCCTCGATTGCACACAGGCTGAGGAGGCCCAAAGGTTCTTAGAAAGCCTGCCATAACCCACCCACCTAATCTGAAATACCAGCATGTCCCAACATATATGATTACCAATAGCATCCCATAGGCAAGCACATTAAAACTGATAATACCGAGAAATAAGGAAAAACCAAAAAGCACATAAGTGTATGTCATCACAATGAAACTTTTGCATCTCACAATATGACCCTTCTCTCTTATCGGGAGCTTACTCAAGTGGCTGCCCCGCCGGGCTTCAAATCCTAATCTTTCTGAATGATTGCACAGTTCGACAAGGATACGATCAGTATGTTTTCACATACCCGAAAATTTGCTGTTATGCCAGCTGTAGTCTGTGGTGTTCGGCTCGTTCGCCCCAGAAATGCTATTTCGATGTCACACTTTTTAATAACCTGAGCACGATTACTAATTTCCTAGTTAACTGTGGTATGTTTCGCCTCTTCACTACGAACAAACGCTCAGATTACCGCTTCGCACAAAATCAACAAACCACAAATAAACATGAAAGCTAACATACACATATGTGTTACGAATGCAACGAAGCAGATAACAAAGCATGTCACTCTATTCTCATTGAGTTCATGTCTCTAAACAAGCGAAACGATATCTTATTATTAGCATGATAAGTGCGGTGACCTTAGAACTCTCATCTACCAATGCTTGTCATTACCGATATATACTATTTCTCTCGAGCTCTTCGTGTAAGGAATAGACAAAATTAGAACAACAATCAATATTGCATGAATACTTACACTGATCTAACTATCGCGACATTCTTTATTCTAACCTCGTACTGTTACGATAGTGTCTCGCCGAGTCTCTGAGCTGTCTGCACGGTCTCGTGTGTCTTCGGGTCCTGATGCCTAGAGTCTGTCAGCGTCTCTGATGCCTGAGTCTGTCCCAGGTCTGATCGTGCCATGAGTCTGTCTCGAATCTGTTGCCGTGTGTCTGTCAGGTAAATGTAGTCACGCTCAGTGTCCGTCGGGCCTGTGAATATTTGTTCGGCGGAATGCAATGTGCTGTCTAGTCGTGATAGCGAAATATTACGTGTAATGGCTATTTATATCTGCAGCAGCAAAATATTCAACACAGTTTATAATTACCACATTCTCAAACACGATCAGACGAATCGTCCCAATAAGCTAGTAAAAGTATCTATATTTATCCTACCTGTTTTTATGTTAGTTCAGGTTATTAAGTATAGTGGAGCGATGTTCGTGGTGGGTCACATCTATCTTGACTTTCCGACAGCTTACAGAAAATTTAAAATCAGACAAGTGTTTCTGACAAGCACATTTTCACTCACCTAATCTAAAAGTTCCTATATTTACCAGAGCTTCTTGATGCGTGACTGGCGTATGACTTAGTCTGCGTGATGCATTGGCTGCATTGTCTGTTAAATTGCAGGCAAATGCACGTCTTCCTCTTGCCAACAGGTATTCTTGTTAACCCCATCATAGGATCCTTGTTGAGCCAACCAATACCTTTTTCAGCCAAATTGAAATCATTCTTCAGACACACGAGATCACTTGTTAGCCAATACCATGATACTTCTTGAGCAACCATATGTTAGTTGAGGCCAACTAACATACCCTTGTTGAGCCAACACAAGATCCTGTCTTCAGCCAACCGAATAACCATTTTGAGCCAACCAATATCCTTTATCGTACAACTAATATCCTTGTTAAGCCAGTCCAAATATCTCTTGTTAAGCCACACCCACCGTATCGTATTCAATTGGAGCCAACCATAATCCTCTTTTAAACCACACACCTTTATGGCCAGCCAGTGATTCTTTGTTAGCCAACCGAACAGTCCTTGTTGAGGCCATAACCAAAATCGCCGCTTGTGAAGTCAACGCTGATCCCGGTTAATCAACTAAAGATCTTTGTGAGTCAACCATATTTCCCCTGTTAACCAACAAATCTTACCAAACATCGATCCCGTAGTACTGAAGCCCAACGTCAGCGGATTCTTGTATCTAGGACTAATCATCTAGTCCTGTGATTGAGCAAACCAAAAAACATCTCTTCAGGCCAACCATGATCCTCTCCTTGAGCCTACACAAGTATGTATGTAACGCAGCGTAACGCTGCCTCAAACCCCCTCCCCCTCTGCAGCGTTACGTAATTTATGGATGACCCCTTACGGGGCGACACAACACCTCTACGGCGACGATTTTTGTGTTTTATTAAATCGTGTTTTTCTCTAATATCTCTAGAACCCCAAAATAATTCATCGTTTTTATAATGGATATTATAATAATAATAATTAATATTCGTGAAGTTTATTTTTAAATAAAACTGATTTAACAGAGAATATAAATTAATGTGAAGTCGAAATAAAATGATCAACGTCTGCTGTGTAAATCATTCTGTACGCTGGGTCCCTCGAGAGTGGAGAGGGCAAAGGTCGAGCTGATAGACACAGTTGTTTTTACTTTTCTTATTAATTCCATCTTTACCAGAAGCTCGTGTTGGATTATTAAACTGGACTCTTTATAGTAGTCGTAATTCGTTTTTTAATTTTTTTTGTGTGTGTAGTGGGCGGCCAAATGGAAGTTGAATGAAGGATTTTCAGTAAATTGTACTTGGATAATTTTTTAGACAGAGTTTAGTGATCTACCATGAAGGATACTCGGACAGAAGAGACGCGGCGAGAGTATTGGTTGAGGTTTGGAAAGCCGTTCAATGGGTTTTCTAACGCCAGAAGTAGTTACTCTAAGTAATGGTTCTTACTGCTTTGACCGCCATTCATTGATCAAAATAATATATTTCGAATTGAAAACTGCTTGCATTCAATTGTGTTATTCGCCTTTCGAGCATTGGAATAGCTTGTACTCTAGGATTCGTCTAACCCAGGGGTGCCCAACTTGCAAGGCCTCAAGGGCCACAACTAAAGTCTTTAAAATTGTTGCAGGTCTTATTTTCATTACTCAGGCGATTCATACGTGACCCCCGTGTATTGTTGATCTTTAACGGGAGGGGGAATGGAACTACGAATGACAAAAAGCCCTACATTGCATAACGCATTGAAACGCATTGGCATGAGTTTGAATTTCTCTATTTACTAGAATGTTAATTGTTACCTATATAACCTGTATCGCTTCCTGATTTTTTGTTATTAACTTCGTGAAAAAAATTAGCGTTTGTAAAAATCACGATTTTATATTGACGTACACGTATTGTTGCACATAATTGGAGCGAAACTTATTAATTTAATATTTTATCGTGTAGCCAATAAAGAAAGAATATGACCTACATCATTGAGGCAATTACGTCGCCAAATTCAACAATAAGAGGAAGAGACGT